AGAGACAAAGGAAGTGGGCGGAGCAATAAAAGAGCTGGAAAACTGAAGAGGACTATATAAGATGGAGGGAGACCGTAAGGGGGTGTGCCTTTCTGCAGACTGGTATCGGCTTTGTTGAAAACTTTTATGAAGTCATTTCATGATGCAACAAAAACTCTGTAAGACCTTATTTGTAATAAAGTATAGTGGTTAATTTCCACAACAATCCCGCCATTCTGATTATCAGCTGTGGTCAAAAACATGTAGGTCTCAAAAGACGGTTCTCTTCCTCAGTAGTGTGCAGCAAATTCTACTAGATGAAAAGCCGAAATCAGTACATCCTACAATTTAAAGCATACTACATTTCTGAAATTTCACATACTGTATAACGTTCTATTTTCGCATACTCAAAATGCCTACTATTTAGAACACTGGAATGGGTATTCGGACACGGCCCATTAAACATTTTTCGTCATTAGGGGAGACGGTCAAGGAGACGGAACAAGAGTCTAGAGGAGCTGATGGCTCAGATGAGGAAAATATAGCTAGGACCAGAAGACACCTCTGTTTTCAGACAACCCTCATAGGCTACGTCACAAATGAAACCCAATACTATAGAGTGCACTACTTTTGACCAGGGCCCATTCTGTTAAATTAGCTTGAAGTAATGGACCAGGTACATACAAATGTTAGCTGTATAATTAACTGTGCTTATGTATCACCTGTTGAACGAGAGGAAAGATTGTTGTAACACTCGGAATTGAATAAGTAATCAATCACTGCATTATGGATGCAATTACTACGACTGGATAGAACTTCTAAAACGTTTTGAATGATGGTGAATGAGGGCCAACATTTCTCTGCATGACAAACCTGCCTTTACTGTATCTGCTCCATGTCAAGCTCTGGTCCAGGGCCTAACATGTGGTTTGAGCCTTAATAGCTCAAGCTGCACATAACGCCCTGGACCAGAGCTACTCCATGTCATACTCTTTGTCATACTCTTTGAGTCACTGTTTAAACTGATATATACACTACCGGTCAAAAGTTTTAGAACACCTACTCATTCAAGGGTTTTTCTTTCTTTTTACTATTTTCTACATTGTAACTACATCAAAACTATAAAATAACACATATGGAATAATTTACTAAGCAAAAAAGGGTTAAACAAATCAAAATATATTTTATATTTGAGTTTCTTCAAATAGCCACTATTTGCCTTGATGACAGCTTTGCACACTCTTGGCATTCTCTCAACCAGCTTCATGAGGTAGTCACCTGGAATACATTTCAATTAACAGGTGTGCCTTCTTAAAAGTTAATTTGTGGAATTTCTTTCCTTCTTAATGCATTTGAGCCAATCAGTTCTGTTGTGACAAGGTAGGTGGGGTATACAGAAGATAGCCCTATTTGGTAAAAGACCAAGTACATATTATGGAAAGAACAGGTCAAATAAGCAAAGAGAAACGATAATCCATCATTATTTTAAGACATGAAGGTCAGTCAACACAGAACATTTCAAGAACTTTTAATGTTTCTTCAAGTGCAGTTGCAAAAACCATCAAGAGCTATGATGAAACTGGATCTCATGAGGACCGCCACAGGAATGGAAGACCCAGAGTTACCTCTGCTGCAGAGGATAAGTTCATTAGAGTTACCAGCTTCAGAAATTGCAGCTGAAATAAATGCTTCACAGAGTTCAAGTAACAGACACATCTCAACATCAACTGTTCAGAGGAGACTGTATGAATCAGGCCTTCATGGTCGGATAATGAATCTAGTACTGAAAGCAAAAGCTACAGCTAGTTGCACTGCAGTGCATAAAATGTGGTGAGTAGTTGACTCAAAGAGAGAGAAAGACAACATTTAAACAGTTTTTACAAATTAATTTATTCAGAAATGAGAGAGACTGAGAGCTGTATTTCATTTTATTTTTAATTTTATTTTTTCACTTTCATTACTTAGCTATCAAATGCAGCTAGCTAGTTTAACCTACTCAAACACCTGGCTCAAACAGAGGGAAGCTTTGTTAACTAGCTGGCTATGGCTATCCAAGCTTTTGGTTTTGTTAATTTGTTGCCACCGGGGCCCACCGGTATAACTGCTAAATTGCTTACTGATTGTACAATATACTACATTATTTTTGCGGGTTTACTAACGCATTAGTTATATTAGCTATGTTGACTATGATGTTGCTTTAGCTAATATGGTAACAATGATGTAGGCTGTGTTTTTTGCCTGGTCACAGATAGCTGATGTGTTGTGCATTGAAGTCCACAAGCAAATTGAAAAGGTGAGAGAAGGAAAGCACAAAGATGCGAGAATGAATGCAACGTGGCCGCTATGAAAGTGATCTGTGCTTACGTGTGATCAGGGGTATATTCATTCCACCGATTCTGTTGAAAAACCTTTCTTAAACGGAAGCAAACGGAACAAAAAGGGGATAAACATACCTGAATTTGGCCAATAGAAACTTTCGTTTGCAACTGTTGATTACACCCTAGATCAGCTAGATGCAGGCAAGAGTGGGCAAGGCGGTATTGAATGTGTCACTGTATGTCGCCTCAAATGTTTTCTCTGGACCTGTGTGCACCTGCATTGTAAACTTTCATTCATAGACTAGCTTGTAGCAACCGCATGATGGGTAAAGGGAATATTCGAGCATCATGTAGAAGCCTAAACCTATCGATGTTACATTGAACTGGGTGAATGGAATATGAATGACAGTCATCCAATATGCTGTAATAGAAATAAGGCCATGCTCATTAAAAAAAATGTCGTCCTCCCTCATCTTAAACGGCACTGACCTCCACTGCTGTAAAGATGTTTCTTTCAGCTTTTTAGTTGACAACAACACACCCTCAGTTATGATATCAGTGTCCTGAAATGCATTGACATCTAGATTTTATCAACAGCCAAATGGATCATGTAGCGTCGGTGTCGTAAACCTACAGAACATAAACTTTAAACCCGTCATAGAGTACAGAGAACATACATTGCTTGTGATCCTGGGAGTTTACAATGGAGCTAAAATAGCTTTATAATGGCTGATGACGCAAGTAATATTTTCCCTAATGTCACTTATGTAACTGTAATAATCTGTTTCCACTTTTAATTGGGCTGGCCAGAGATGTTTAAATGAGAGAAATGCCACCTGGTGGCAACGAATGAAACAACGGGAAAAACACATTCAAGAAATAATATTCAATTTGCCATATGATAGAGCCATATACAGTGGGGAAAAAAAGTATTTAGTCAGCCACCAATTGTGTAAGTTCTCCCTCTTAAAAAGATGAGAGAGGCCTGTTATTTTCATCATAGGTACACGTCAACTATGACAGACAAAATGAGAAAACAAAATCCAGGAAATCACATTGTAGGATTTTTTATGAATTTATTTGCAAATTATGGTGGAAAATAAGTATTTGGTCAATAACAAAAGTTCCTCAATACTTTGTTATATACCCTTTGTTGGCAATGACACAGGTCAAACGTTTTCTGTAAGTCTTCACAAGGTTTTCACACACTGTTGCTGGTATTTTGGCCCATTCCTCCATGCAGATCTCCTCTAGAGCAGTGATGTTTTGGGGCTGTCGCTGGGCAACACGGACTTTCAACTCCCTCCAAAGATTTTCTATGGGGTTGAGATCTGGAGACTGGCTAGGCCACTCCAGGACCTTGAAATGCTTCTTACGAAGCCACTCCTTCGTTGCCCGGGCAGTGTGTTTGGGATCATTGTCATGCTGAAAGACCCAGCCACGTTTCATCTTCAATGCCCTTGCTGATGGAAGGAGGTTTTCACTCAAAATCTCACGATACATGGTCCCATTCATTCTTTCCTTTACACAGATCAGTCGTTCTGGTCCCTTTGCAGATAAACAGCCCCAAAGCATGATGTTTCCACCCCCATGCTTCACAGTAGGTATGGTGTTCTTTGGATGCAACTCAGCATTCTTTGTCCTCCAAACACGACGAGTTGAGTTTTTACCAAAAAGTTATATTTTGGTTTCATCTGACCATATGACATTCTCCCAATCCTCTTCTGGATCATCCAAATGCACTCTAGCAAACTTCAGACGGGCCTGGACATGTACTGGCTTAAGCAGGGGGACACGTCTGGCACTGCAGGATTTGACTCCCTGGCGGCGTAGTGTGTTACTGATGGTAGGCTTTGTTACTTTGGTCCCAGCTCTCTGCAGGTCATTCACTAGGTCCCCCCGTGTGGTTCTGGGATTTTTGCTCACCGTTCTTGTGATCATTTTGACCCCACGGGGTGAGATCTTGCGTGGAGCCCCAGATCGAGGGAGATTTTCAGTGGTCTTGTATGTCTTCCATTTCCTAATAATTGCTCCCACAGTTGATTTCTTCAAACCAAGCTGCTTACCTATTGCAGATTCAGTCTTCCCAGCCTGGTGCAGGTCTACAATTTTGTTTCTGGTGTCCTTTGACAGCTCTTTGGTCTTGGCCATAGTGGAGTTTGGAGTGTGACTGTTTGAGGTTGTGGACATGTGTCTTTTATACTGATAACAAGTTCAAACAGGTGCCATTAATACAGGTAACGAGTGGAGGACAGAGGAGCCTCTTAAAGAAGAAGTTACAGCTCTGTGAGAGCCAGAAATCTTGCTTGTTTGTAGGTGACCAAATACTTATTTTCCACCATAATTTGCAAATAAATTCATAAAAAATCCTACAATGTGATTTTCTGGATTTCTTTCTTCTCAATTTGTCTGTCATAGTTGACGTGTACCTATGATGAAAATTACAGGCCTCTCTCATCTTTTTAAGTGGGAGAACTTGCACAATTGGTGGCTGACTAAATACTTTTTTTCCCCACTGTAAGAGGTATAAGGTAACATGAGTAAATTACATCAGTTATCATTCAGCTGATGCAATCCTGCCAAAAGGGAAATATTACAGTGTGCGACCATGACATATATATAGAGACGAGGCTTGAACCCCCGTTTGCAGGGGTATGTGTGGTCCATTACCACTTCACCAGATTCCGGAACTATCTGGCCTTCTCAGTTTATATCCTGGACCTTCTCATCAACTGAGGTGGACACACGCTTCTGCATGTGTGGGTTGTACTCTGTGGAAAGAGACACAAAACAGGAAATCATTAATTAATTAATTGTGCGTATGATGGGTAACAACACTTGATTCTCTCACTGATTCATTCATTTGATTAATTATTCTCCTGCTTGCTCACCTTCCACCACTTCCTGGACATGTTGTACTTCCTGGACCTTCTCAACCATGATCACTTTCCTGACCTACTGTCGGGTCTCCACATGCCTACTGGTAGATACACAGGGACAGCTTACGGACAGCTAAACTCACCAACACACATCTTGATCTTCTAGTTTGCAATGAGGTTCCAATAAGCAGCTGTCATCTCCCCCCCCCCCCCCATCCCTTCCCCCTCCCTCTGTTTCCTGCCCCTCCATTATCCCCTCTCACCTGAGTCCCTCTCCATCCAGCAGCCTCCTGTACTCAGCGATCTCCATCTCCAGCCTCATCTTGATGTCCAGGAGGATCTGGTACTCGGGGGCCTGCGGCTGGATGCTGACATTGAGCTGCTGCAGCTCCTCCTCCATGCTGTTGATATGAACCTGCAGCTGGCTCAGCTGGGAGCCGTAGCGGCCATTTATATCAGTGACACTCTGCTCCAGGTACCCCTTCTAGGAATGTGTTTATGTTTGTAAGGGATGAAGAAGATGGAGAAGGAAGAAAGGAGAGGGTAGTAGAAATTGATGAACAGGGAGATGAAGAAGGGTAGAGATAGTTAGATTGGTGCGCATAAAGAAGTTAGAACACCTTGACATTACACCACAGTGGAGGTCTGAAAACATTTAACAAACTTTGATTTTGGAGTGTAATGTTCCTTTACGACATAAAGGAATTCCATATTTTAGGAACAGAGATAGGGTAAAGACGAATGCTATATGTTTAGGGATGCTGATTCACTAAGATGGTTTGACATCATACCTGAGTGAGCAGGCCATGCAGTTCAATCTCCAGGCTCTGGAAGGTCCTCTTCAGGTCGGTCACCTGAGACTGAGACGTTTTCACCTCTATGGGGCTGGTGGTGATCTGGTTCTTCTCCACCATGCCCTCATACTGGGTCCTCATCTCCTCCAGCAGCTTGCTCATGTCCACTGAGGAAGAACAGTCCATCTCCACATTCACAGCACCACACTGCTGTGTCCGCATCAAATGCATCTCCTAACAACAGGAAAAGGGGGACAAATTGTGTCATTGTCACGATCGTCTTGTAGCGAAGTAGACCAATACGCAGCGTGTTGAGCGAACATGATTGACTTTATTATATTAAAGTGCAAAAACCAAAACAATAGACGACTCGTGAAGTCCACAGTAACAATGACCGTAAAGGAACAAAAACCCACAAACACAAAGTGAAACACAGACAGTTAAATATGGCTCCCAATCAGAGACAACCAGCACACAGCTGACACTCGTTGCCTCTGATTGGGAGTCATTCAGCCAAACATAGAAACAGACAACCTAGAACACCCAAACAAAGAAACAGAACACAATGAATGAACACACCCTGGCTCAACATATAGAGTCCCAGAGCCAGGGTGTGACAGTACCCCCCCCTAAAGGCGCGGACTGCGACCGCGTCTTAACAAAACCCCAAACAGGGGAGGGCTGGGTGGGCATTCCTCCTCGGAGGCGGCTCCGGCTCCGGCCTTGACCACCACCCCTCCATAACTCCCCCGTAGCGCCCCTGGTCCGGTCTGACCCCGCTGGCTGGATCTGGACTGGACATTGACGGAGCGGATTGCTTACGCTCCGTTGTGGAGCAACTGACCGGTCTTACCAGGCTGACGACTCGCACCCCGGGCTTGGTGCGAGTAGCAGGAACGGGCTGAACCAGGCTGACGACTCGCACCCCTGGCTTGGTGCGAGTAGCAGGAACGGGCTGGACCAGGCTGACGACTCGCACCCCTGGCTTGGTGCGAGTAGCAGGAACGTTCTGGACCAGGCTGACGACTCGCACCCCTGGCTTGGTGCGAGTGGCAGGAACAGGCTGGACCAGGCTGGTGACTCGCACCCCTGGCTTGGTGCGAGTGGCAGGAACAGACCGGGCCGGGATGGCGACTCGCACCCCTGGCTTGGTGCGAGTGGCAGGAACAGGCCGGGCCGGCGACGCGCACCGTAGGTTTGGTGCGAGTGGCAGGAACAGGCCGGGCCGGGCTGGCGACGCACACCGTAGGTTTGGTGTGTGGAGCAGGGACAGGCCGGGCTGGGCTGGCGACGCACCCCGTAGGCTTGGTGCGTGGAGCAGGGACAGGCCGGGCTGGGCTGGCGACGCACACCGTAGGTTTGGTGCGGGTGGCAGGAACAGGCCGGACCGGGCTGGCTACGCACACCCTAGGCTTGGTGCGAGAGGCAGGAACAGGCCGGACCGGGCTGGTGACGCGCACCGTCCATTTGGTGCGAGAGGCCGTAACAGGCCGGACCGTACTAGGGACACACACCACTGGCTCTACCCCGGGAACTGGAACGGGCCGGACCGGACTGGTAACACACCCCAGTACCTCTCGCCGTGCCTCTAAACCTCCTTTCCCTACTTTGACCAGTAGCCCCCGTAACCTGGTGGCCTTTTGAATACGCCCCTTCTCTGCCTCCGTCAGCCCCGTCGTCCATGCCCTGTGCCCCCCCCTAAAATGTTTTTGGGGTTGCCTCTCGTCAGTCTCACTCCATGGCCAGCGATCCTCCCATGTCCAGTCTGCCTGCTCCTGGACACGCTGCTTGGTCATTGTATGGTGGGTTTTTCTGTCACGATCGTCTTGTAGCGAAGTAGACCAATACGCAGCGTGTTGAGCGAACATGATTGACTTTATTATATTAAAGTGCAAAAACCAAAACAATAGACGACTCGTGAAGTCCACAGTAACAATGACCGTAAAGGAACAAAAACCCACAAACACAAAGTGAAACACAGACAGTTAAATATGGCTCCCAATCAGAGACAACCAGCACACAGCTGACACTCGTTGCCTCTGATTGGGAGTCATTCAGCCAAACATAGAAACAGACAACCTAGAACACCAAAACAAAGAAACAGAACACAATGAATGAACACACCCTGGCTCAACATATAGAGTCCCAGAGCCAGGGTGTGACAGTCATAATACCTGGGATTTGTAGTTTACTTATATACAGGGAAGGCTAAAAGTATGTGAAAACAATGAGTTACTGTATATTTGAGTACTAATAACAGTGAAGTTGCCCTAGATTTGTTGTGGGTGAGTTTTGCCCCCTTGTGGCCAAACATGGAAAGGTCTCAAACCCACTGAGAATTAATAAATACATTCAAGTGCAAAAACATTCCAAAAATTACAGGGGGAGCCGGGGTGTCCAAATGAAAAAAACACGTGGCTGTCCTGGCACATTGACACTTCAGCCAACAGCACAAGCGTTAAGACTTGAGTGTGTGAGGAGAATTGAGGAGGTTACCTCCTCATGGTTCTTCCTGAGGTAGACCAGCTCCTCCTTCAGCCCCTCAATCTGCATCTCAAGGTCTCCTCTGGCATGCGTAAAGCTGTCTAGGACTCCTCTCAGACGAGCCACATCCCCTTCCGTCATCATACGCATTTTAGCCTCCTTCTCTAACCTATACGGGTTGAGGAGAGGAGAGAGCTTGATTAGTTCCTTCTCACAACAAACCAAGATACAAATTGCCCAACAGTATACTGATCCATAGCGCCTGCCTACCCCCATAAGCATTTCTGTAGATCTGGGAGGATTGGATGTACTCAATCTCGAACCTATAGGCCAAGAGCTACAAACAGAAACAGTACACTCACAGAAGCTGTGTACAGTACAGAGAGGAAGTGCACCTACTTCATCTTGAAGTCATCAGCTGCAAGTCTGGCTTTATCCACACACAGGATCATCTGAGAGTTCTCCATAGACCTGGCATGGATCTAGGAACAGGAGGACAGCCACAGTCAATGGAATGTAATAACAGTGTCAACTATGTATGGGATATAATGTGTTTAGATCAGCAGATCTGGGTCATATCTATTGTTCATTCATATACAACAGGGCACAGTTCTTCAACGATCAACAAGATAAATACTGAGACAATAGGAATTACTCCTCTAATCTATCACTTAGATTAGAGGAAAGTATTCAGACCCCTTGACTTTTTCCACATTTTGTTATGTTACAGCCTTATTCTAAAATGGATTTAATAAATAAAAAATCCTCAGCAATCTACACACAATACCCCATAATTACAAAGCTAAAACAGGATTTTTTACATTTTTGCACATCTATTAAAAACAAATACAGAAATACCTTATTTGCATAAGTATTCAGACCCTTTGCTATGAGACTCGAAATTGAGCTCAGGTGTATTCTGTTTACATTGATCTTCCTTGAAATGTTTCTACAACTTGATTGGAGTCCACCTGTGGTAAAATAATTGATTGGACATGATTTGGAAAGGCCCACACCTGTCTATATATGAGGTCCCACAGTTGACAGTGCATGTCAGAGCAAAAACCAAGCCCTGATGTCGAAGAAATTGTCCGTAGAGCTCTGAGACAGGATTGTGTTGAGGCAAAAATCTGGGGAAGGGTATCAAAAGATGTCTGCAGCATTGAAGGTCCCCAAGAACAGAGTGGCCTCCATCATTCTTAAGTGGAATAAGTTTGTAAACACTCTTCCTAGAGCTGACCACCTGGCCAAACTGAGCAATCGGGGGAGAAGGGCCTTGGTCAGGGAGGTGACCAAGAACCCGATGGTCACTCTGACAGAGCTTTAGAGTTCCTCTGTGGAGATGGGAGAACCTTCCAGAAGAACAACCATCTCTGCAGCACTCCACCAACCAGGCCTTTATGGTACAGTGGCCAGACGGAAGCCACTCCTCAGTAAAAGCCACATGACAGCCCGCTTGGAGTTTGCCAAAAGGCACGTAAAGACACTCAGACCATGAGAAACAAGATTCTCTGGTCTGATGAACCCAAGATTGAACTCTTTGGCCTGAATGCCAAGCGTCACGTCTGGAGGAAACCTGGCACCATCCCTACGTTAAAGCATGGTGGTGGCAGCATCATGCTGTGGGGATGTTTTTCAGCGGCAAGGACTGGGAGACTAGTCAGGATCGAGGCAAAGATGAACGGAGGAAAGTACAGAGAGATCCTTGATGAAAACCTGCTCAGGACCTCAGACTGGGTCGAAGGTTCACCTTCCAACAGGACAACGACCCTAAGCACACAGCCAAGACAATGCAGGACTGGCTTCGGGACAAGTCTCAGAATGTCCTTGAGTGGCCCAGCCAGAGCCCGGACTTGAACCCGATCGAACATCTCTGGAGAGACCTGAAAATAGCTGTGCAGCAACGCTCCCCATCCAACCTGACAGATCTTATGAGGATCTGCAGCGAGGAGTGGGAGAAACTCCCCAAATACAGGTGTGCCAAGCTTGTAGCGTCATACCCAAGAAGACTGAGGCTGTAATCGCTGCCAAAAGTGCTTCAACAAAGTACTGAGTAAAGGGTCTGAATACTTATGTAAATGTGATATTTCCGTTTTTTTTATATACATTTGCTAAAATTTGGAAACAATGTTGATTCAACCAGTGTGTGCCCAGTGGGTTGCTACATTAAAACTACATTACCCAGAAGTACCTTGTTGCGGATGTCTGCGATGGTGGCATAGAACCCACTGAGGTCCTTCTTGTGAGTCGGTGATCTCATCTCGTAGAACTCTTTGATCTGCAGCTCCAACTTGCTATTGGCTGCCTCTAGAGAGTGCACCTGTGTACACAGGGAGTGGAGGGAATCAGTTCAGTTCATGGGTCTTTCCGAAATAGCACCTATGGGTGCCATTTGGGGCGCATCCCATCACGTTATGTGAATCAGTGCACTCCCATAACATAATCCCCAACATAATGGAATTGAAAATAAATGATCAAATCCTGCTGTCATTGTCCTCATCAGTGTTTTAAAGTACTTCAGTAAAAATACATTAAAGTACTTCTTAAGTAGGTTTTTTGGGTATCTGTACATTACATTACTATTTATATTTTTGACAACTGTTACTTTTACTCAACTACATTCTTAAAGAAAATAATGTACTTTTTACTCCATACATTTTCCCTGACACCCAAAAGTACTCATTACACTTTGAATGCTTAGCAGAACAGGAAAATGGTCAAATTTACACTCTTATAAAGAGAACATCCCTGGTCGTCCCTACACAAACGCTTTGCTTGTAAATTATGTCAGAGTGTTGGAGTGTGCCCCTGGCAATGCGCACAAATAATTGTGCCGTCTGGGTTGTTTAATATAAGGAATGTGAAATTATTTATACTTTTACTTTTGATACTTAAGTATTTTTGAGCAATTACATATACTTTTGATACTTAAGTATATTTAAAACCAAAGACTTTTGGACTTTTACTCAGGTAGTATTTTACTCCGTGACCTTCACTTTTACTTGAGTCATTTTTTATTAAGGTATCTTTACTTTTATTCAAGGATGAAAATTGGGTAGTTTTTCCACCACTGGTCCTGATTATGTATTTAGGAATGCGTTTATAACAGGTGTGTCTTTTAATAATAATGAGACTTCTCCTTGGAGCTATACAGGCAAACTATAGGTTACTGTTTCTTCTCAATAGCAACTCATTCATACACGGTGGACCCACAAGACGACATGATGAATGATCCACATGCCTCGCTATGTGAACTCATCCCCATCAAGACTTCACTGTCGCTATCCTCAAACCACCACCCATTGAAACCCCAAAGCCCCCTCATGCAGCCAATATACTTGTACATTAAAAAAATCACTTAACTTAATGGCCTCAATGTATTTTCTGGTGACCCAAAAGGTTAAAAGGGAGTGTTGACTTGACTCTTTTTTGGCACCGTGTGATGAGAGATTTTCCCAGGGAAACCAAGATACCATTGTGTGCCTAATCACTTGGCAGACCTTCTGCTGTTTTCTTTGGTTCTATTATCACAGGTAGAGATATTTATGTTCTGCCTCGATTAGCGTATGACGGTAACAAAAGTGAAAGAGTGAGTCGTAATTTTCTTTGGCCTACATGCAATTCCTTCCGAATGTCAGTTGGAATGCCTGTATGTCTGGGCTCATATGATAAAGCAGGTATGGAGGGGAGTAGTACACCTCCTTTACTGGAAGTTACACCAGTAAAAAAGAGGGACACAGCACAGACTGATCCAGCACAATTTGGAGGGCTGGAGGTGGAAGGACCCTAACAAAATGGGTGTATTTCCAATCTACACTATAAAAAGTAAAGGTTCCTGGATGAAATTGTGGGGGAAGCCCTACATGTTCTTCAAAGAACCCCTTTTAATGGATTTTCGAATAACCTTTTGAATAACCTTTTGGGGTTAATTTTTGAACTACCCTAATAATACGCATAAAAATAACACAGTATTTTAGTTGTCAGTGTTTATTATATTAGTGGCAAATCAGAATAAAAAGATCAAAATATGAGGTAAACTCCTACACTCTAAAAATTAGGGGTTGAACAAGGGATCTTCTAAGATCATCAAAGTTCTTCAAATAACCTTTGGGTTCTTGGTACTGAAAATTGCCCCCAAAAGGTTCTTAAGAACCTAACTGCCCAACTGAAACGTTTTGATTTTAATTTGAAAGAACAGCAGATGCAGGCACTTAACTGAAACATTTAAGGATTTCCTAAATTAAAGGTAAGGTTTGGCCCTTGTATGATCTAAATTAAAGGTAAGGTTTGGCCCTTGTATGATCTAAATTGATATTGTTTTATGATGATACCATCTATCTTTTCATATTTGTGCAAATCTTTCTAAAACAGAAAATGGACACAATTCAATGGATATCAATAAACAAAGAGATAATAATATGTAGGCTATAATAATATGTTGAAGGCTAGCTGTATTGGGTGCAGATGACTGAACTGCTCACTTTTGTGTCTGCAGGTATACAGACGAGGAGGCATACAAAGGTACCTCAGACTGGGGGCAAAGGTTCACCTTCCAACTGGACAACAACCCTAAGCACACAGCCAAGACAACGCAGGAGTGGCTTCAGTACAAGTCTCTGAATGTCCTTGAGTGGTCCAGCCAGAGCCTGGATTTGAACCCAATCGAATATCTCTGGAGAGACTCAGGTGGACTCCAATCAAGTTGTAGAAACATCTCAAGGATGATCAATGCAAACAGGATAAACCTGAGCTCAATTTCGAGTCTCATGGAAAAGGGTCTGAATATTTATGTAAATAAGTTATTTGTGTTTTGAATTATATGCATTTGCTAACATTTCTAAAAACCTGTTTTCGCTTTGTCATTATGGGATATTGTAGGTAGATTGATGAGGAAAAAAAGTAATTTAATAAATTTTAGAATAAAGCTGTAACGTAACCAAATGTGGAACAATTCAAGGTGTCTGAATACTTTCCGAATGCACTGTATGTTGTTGCTCTGTCAGGTTTTGAGCTGGTGTCGGAGGTGACTGATGAGGAGCTCAAGGCAGCCTTAGGCCCTGTCCCTGACCTCCCAAAGATATCACTGTGGCCTACTCCATCCCTGAGAAGGTCAGTACCAAATACAGTGTCTTGCAAAAGTATTCATCCCCCTTGGCGTTTTTCCTATTTTGTTGCATTACAACCTGGTGAAGTGAAATGAAAAAAATTACGTACAAAAAAATATATATCAATAACGGAAAAGTGGTGCGTGCATATGTATTCACCCCCTTTGCTATGAAGCCCCTAAATATGATCTGGTACAACCAATTGTCTTCAGAAGTCACATAGTTAGTTAAATAAAGTCCACCAGTATGTATACACCTGTTCTGAAAGGCCCCAGAGTCTGCAACACCACTAAGCAAGGGGCACCACCAAGCAAGTGGCACCATGAAGACCAAGGAGCTCTTTAAACAGGTCAGGGACAAAGTTGTGGAGAAGTACAGATCAGGGTTGGGTTCTAAAAAAATATCAGAAACTTTGAACATCCCACGGAGCACCATTAAATCCATTATTAAAAAATGGAAAGAATATGGCACCACAACAAATCTTCCAAGAGAGGGCCGCCCACCAAAACTCACAGAGCAGGCAAGGAGGGCATTAATCAGAGAGGCAACAAAGAGACCAAAGATAACCCTGAAGGTGCTGCAAAGCTCCCCAGCGGAGATTGGAGTATCTGACCATATGACCACTTTAAGACGTATTCTCCACAGAGCTGGGCTTTATGGAAGAGTGGCCAGAAAAAAGCCATTGCTTAAAGAAAAAAATAAGCAAACATGTTGGGTGTTCGCCATAAGTCATGTGGGAGACTCCCCAAACATATGGAAGAAGGTACTCTGGTCAGATGAGACTAAAATTGAACTTTTTGGCCATCAAGGAAAACGCTATGTCTGGCGCAAACCCAACACCTCTCATCACCCCGAGAACACCACCAGTGGCTAGATGTGCCAAGCTTACAGACACATACCCCAAAAGACTTGCAGATGTAATTGCTGTAAAAGGTTGCTCTACAAAGTATTGACTTTGTGTTATGTGGGCAGCTTGTCTCTCCCTTTTCTGTTTCCCTTCCTCCTTGTTTTGTCTCCTCTTTGTCTGTTGTATCTGTATGTGTGTTTGTCCCCATTATGTGGGTGCGTCTGCCGGTGTGTGTCTGGAGTGGATCGGGGGGCGTGCTCAGGATCTGCCTCTCCTGTGCAGCTGCGGGTTGTTTCCAGTGATTCCTGCCTACGCAGCTGCATCCTATTCTCTCATCAACCTGCACTTCTAATTCCTGGGCATGGCTCTCCACCGGCGCCAGATAGTTGTTCTTACTAGAGCGTTCAGACATACCTCCCAACCTGCCTGCCTGCCTTCCTGCCTGCCTGCCTGCCTCAGCCTCTCCTTCCTCCGGAGCCGACTAGCCCACTCTGTTCCTTTTCTTCAGTTGTTTTTGGACTAGACAAATTGAACTTTTATTAAAATAATGTTTGTTTCTTCCACTCCCTTAGTCGTGTTTTGTTTCTCGGAGTGCTGGGTTTAACCATAGCGTAACACTTTGGGGGGGTGAATAGTTATACACGCTCAAGTTTTCTGTTTTTTTTGTCTTATTTCTTGTTTGTTTCACAATAAAAATTATTTTGCATCTTCAAAGTGGTAGGCATGTTGTGTAAATCAAATGATACAAACCCCCAAAAACTAATTCCAAGTTGTTAGGCAACAAAATAGGAAAAATGTCAAGAGGGGTTGAATACTTTCGCATGCACCTTTTAACGGTGGGATTCGAAATGGTCGGTGATCTGTTTTTTAACTTGGATTTCAAATACTTTCGAAAGGCAGGGCAGGATGGACATAGGTCTGTAACAGTATGGATCCAGAGTGTCACCCCCTTTGAAGAGGGGGATGAACGTGACAACTTTCCAATCTCTGGGGATCTCAGACGTTACGAAAGAGAGGTTGAACAGGCTAGTAACAGGGGTTGCGACAATTTTGGCGGCTAATTTTAGAAAGAAAGGGTCCAGATTGTCTAGCCCAGCTGATTTGTAGGGGTCCAGATTTTTCGGCTCTTTCAGAACATCAGTTGTCTGAATTTGTGTGAAGGAGAAGCGGGGGGGCATGGGCAAGTTGGAGCGGAGGGTGCAGAGCTGGTGGCCGGGGTAATGGTAGCAAAGTGGAAAGCATGGCCAGCCGTAGCAAAATGCTTGTTGAAATTCTCGATTATTGTAGATTTATCAGTGGTGACAGTGTTTCCTAGCCTCAGTGGTAGTTGGGTTAGGAGCTGCTCATATTTTCCATGGACTTTACAGTGTCCCAAAACGTTTTGGAGTTAGTGCTACAGGATGCAAATTTCTGTTTGAAAAAGCTAGCCTTTTGCTTTCCTAACTGATTGTGTATATTGGTTCCTGACTTCCCTAAAAAGTTGCATATCACGGGGGCTGTTCGATGCTAATGCAGTACGCCACAGGATGTTTTTGTGCTGGTCAAGGGCAGTCAAGTCTGAGGAGAACCAGGGGCTATATCTGTTCTTAGTTCTGCCTTTTTTGAATGGGGCATGCTTATTTAAGATTGAGAGGAAAGCACTTTTAAAGAACAACCAGGCATCCTCTACTGTCGGAATGAGGTCAATATCCATCCAGGATACCCGGGCCAGGTCAATTAGAAAGGCCTGCTCGCTAAAGTGTTTTAGGGAGCGTTTGACAGTGATGAGGGGTGGTCGTTTGACCGCGGACCCATTACGGACGCAGGCAATAAGGCAGTGATCGCTGAGATCCTGGTTGAAGACAGCGGAGGTGTATTTAGAGGGTGAATTTGTCAGGATGATATCTATAAGGGTGCCCATGTTTACAGATTTAGGGTTGTACCTGGTAGGTTCGTTGATAATTTGTGTGAGATTGAGGGCATCTAGTTTAGATTGTAGGTTGGCCGGGGTGTTAAGCATATCCCAGTTTAGGTCACCAAGCAGTACGAACTCTGAGGATAGATGGGGGGCAATCAGTTCACATATGGTGTCCAGGGCACAGCTCGGGGCTGAGGGGGGTCTGTAGCAAGCGGCAACAGTGAGAGACTTATTTCTGGAAAGGTGGATTTTTAGAAGTAGAAGCTCAAACTGTTTGGGCACAGACCTGGATAGTACGATAGAGCTCTGCAGGCTTTCTCTACAGTAGGTCCTCTGTAGCTCAGCTGGTAGAGCACGGCGCTTGTAACGCCAGGGTAGTGGGTTCGATCCCGGGGACCACCCATAAAAATGTATGCACGCATGACTGTAAGTCGCTTTGGATAAAAGCGTCTGCTAAATGGCATATTATTATTAGATTATAGATTGCAACCCCACCCCCTTTGGCAGTTCTATCGAGACGGAAAATGTTGTAGTTGGGGATGGACATTTCTGAATTTTTGGTGGCCTTCCTAAGCCAGGATTCAGACACTGCTAGAACATCAGGTTTGGCGGAGTGTGCTAACGCAGTGAATAACTCAAACTTAGGGAGGAGGCCTCGAATGTTAACGTGCAAGAAACCAAGGCTTTTACGGTTACAGAAGTCAACAAATGATAACGCCTGGGGAGTAGAAGTGATACTGGGGGCTACAGGGCCTGGGTTAACCTCTACATCACCAGAGAAACAGAGGAGGAGTAGAATAAGAACACGGCTAAATGCTTTAAGTACTGGTCTTCTAGTGCGTTGGGTACAGAGAAAAAAAGGGGCAGATTTCCGGCCATTGTAGAATAGATACAGGGCATTATGTACAGACAAGGATATGGAAGGATATGAGTACAGTAGAGGTAAACCTAAGCGTTGGGTAACGATGAAAGAGATAGCATCACTGGAGGCACCGATTGTATGGGGGGTGGGACAAAGAAGCTATCTAAGGCAGGTTGAGCTGGGCTGGGGGATCTACAGTGAAATAGTACAACAAGAAATAACCAAAACAGCAATAAGCAAGGCATATTGACATGGGAGAGAGGCATAAAGCAATCACAGGTGTTATTCGAGAGAGCTAAGACAACAGCTGGTAATGGCGACAAAGTTTGGGCTGAGGCTAAACATAAACAGGATGCGGTACCGTAAAAAGGAACAGTCCAGCAGGCATCAGCTGTGTAGCTGAGTTATCATAAGGTCCGGTGAACAGCAATAGGAGAGTTTGGAGGTAGGTCGGGGGTTGCTATAGCACTGACGAGCAAGAGGCCACGGCTAGCGTGTGCTAGCGGGCCGGGGCTAGCAGATGGATCTTCCTGGTCGACGTCATAACAGGAAGCCTGTTGTAACCACATCAGACGATTTCGTCGGCAGATCAGTCGTGTTGGATCGGCGGGGCTCTGTGTCAACACTAGGAGGTCCTGTCCGGTTGACAGAGAGGTAGATAGCAGGGAGATGGGCCTGGCTCTAGGCTAGCTCAAGGCTGATTAGCCAACAACAACATCCATTTGGTTGCAGCTAGCTAGCTGCGATGATCCGGTGTTAAAAGTCCAGTAATTCAGTGATTCCGGCAGAAAAAACGATATGTTCTGGGTTGATAACGCGCTGTGCAGACAGTGCAGACTGGCCGATAATAGTCCAGGCTAGAGCTGGCTGGTAGGTAGTACAGGCCACGGACAATGGTGAAAAACCTCTAACGGTGGCTAATAGCAAGTAGCTAGTTATCACCATCGATCAGTCCGCCTGTCCAACTTCTGGAACCCAGTGGGATTCGGCTCTCGCTCCCGAGGGCGTACGACGGCACCGCTGCCGGGTGTCAAGGGTTCCTGCTGCGAGTGGAACTCTACCTCGCCACCGTACACCCGGCACCCTCGGGACACGAGAGCGTTTCCGCCCTCATCTCCTGTCTCACCGGCAAGGCGTTGGAGTGGGCCAACGCCGAATGGAGGAGAATAGACGCCGCTACTATCACCTATGCAGAGTTCTCCCGCCGCTTCCGTGCAGTGTTTGACCATCCACCAGAGGGGAAGGCGGCGGGGGAGCGTCTATTCTACCTCCGGCAAGGGATGAGGAGCGCTCAGGAGTTTGCACTGGAGTTCCGGACTCTAGCGGCAGATGCAGGGTGGAATGAGCGGGCCCTCATAGATCACTTCCGCTGCAGTCTCCGGGAGGACGTCCAGCGAGAGTTGGCGTGTAGGGATACCACGCTTTCGTTTGACCAATTGGTTGACATGGCCATTCGGCTGGACACCCTGCTCGCCACTCGCGGGCATCCCGGGTGGGAGTCGCCCATTCCACCCTCCAGCGCCTCCGAGCCGAGTCCTATGGAGCTCGGAGGTGCTGGCGCTAGAGAACAGAGGAGAGGGAGCCCGAGGGGGGCCGTCCCCTGCACCAACTGTGGCCGTGGAGGGCACACCGCGGCTAGGTGCTGGGGAGGGTCTCCTGGTGGAAGAGAAGGCAGGCCACGCATTGGGGAGTCCTCCCAGGTGAGTAGGCGCCCCACTTACCCAGAGCTTTCTGTCGTACACATAACTATACCTGTTTGTTTTCCACAGGTTGCACCTCGTTCCCAGCATAAGGCGCTAGTAGATTCAGGCGCAGCTGGGAATTTTGTAGATCGTAAATTCTGTGTAGAGTTAGGGATCCCTCTTCTTTCGGTCAATAATCCTTTCCCAGTACATGCCCTAGATAGCCGTCCGTTAGGATCCGGGTTGATTAGGGAGGTCACAGTGCCACTTAGGATGGAGACGCAGGGGGGCCATGAGGAGACGATTCAGCTCTATCTGATCGACTCTCCTGTGTATCCGGTGGTACTGGGGCTTCCCTGGTTGATTACCCATGATCCTACTATTTCGTGGCGAGAGAAGGCTCTTAAGGGGTGGTCTGCCCAGTGTGAGGGGCTATGTCTGGGTGTTTCCGTAGGGGCGACCTCGGTGGAGAGTCCAAACCAAATGCCCGCACTGCACATTCCCTCCGAGTATGAGGATTTAGCACTCGTGTTTAGCAAGTCGAGAGCGGCGCGGTTGCCGCCTCATAGACAGGGGGATTGTGCGATAGACCTCCAGGCAGGAGCTGCGCTCCCGCGGAGCCATGTGTAGCCTTTGTCACAAGAGGAGAAGAGGGCGATGGAGACATACATTGCCGAGTCTCTGAGACAGGGATACATACGGCCCTCCACTTCGCCCGCGTCCTCAAGCTTCTTTTTTGTGAAGAAGAAGGATGGAGGTTTGCGCCCGTGTATTGATTACCGCGGTCTCAATCAGATTACTGTAAAATATAGTTATCCACTCCCTCTGATTGCGAATATGACGGAGTCATTACACGGGGCACGGTTCTTCACAAAATTGGACCTCAGGAGCGCATATAACTTGGTGCGCATTAGGGAGGGCGATGAATGGAAGACAGCATTTAGTACTACCTCCGGTCATTACGAGTATCT